TGGCTGTCTGCTGGTTGGCTGTCTCTGCTGGCTGTCTCTCTGCTGGCTGTCTCCCTGCTGGCTGTCTCTCTGCTGGCTGTCTGCTGGCTGTCTCTCTGCTGGCTGTCTGCTGTCTGCTGGCTGTCTCTCTGCTGGCTGTCTCTCTGCTGGCTGTCTCTCTGCTGGCTGTCTGCTGGCTGTCTCTCTGCTGGCTGTCTGCTCTCTGCTGGCTGTCTCTCTGCTGGCTGTCTCTCTGCTGGCTGTCTGCTCTCTGCTGGCTGTCTCTCTGCTGGCTGTCTCTCTGCTGGCTGTCTCTCTGCTGGCTGTCTCTCTGCTGGCTGTCTCTCTGCTGGCTGTCTGCTGGCTGTCTCTCTGCTGGCTGTCTGCTGGCTGTCTCTCTGCTGGCTGTCTGCTGGCTGCTGGCTGTCTCTCTGCTGGCTGTCTGCTGGCTGTCTCTCTGCTGGCTGGTTGTCTGCTGGTTGGCTGTCTCTGCTGGCTGTCTCTCTGCTGGCTGGCTGTCTGCTGGCTGTCTCCCTGCTGGCTGGCTGTCTCTGCTGGCTGTCTCTCTGTTGGCTGGCTGTCTGCTGGCTGTTTCTCTGCTGGTTGGCTCTCTCTCTGCTGGCTGTCTCTCTGCTGGCTGGCTGTCTGCTGGCTCTCTCTCTGCTGGCTGGCTGTCTCTCTGCTGGCTGGCTGTCTGCTGGCTGTCTCTCTGCTGGCTGGCTGTCTGCTGGCTGTCTCTCTGCTGGCTGGCTGTCTGCTGGCTGTCTCTCTGCTGGCTGCCTGTCTGCTGGCTGTCTCTCTGTTGGCTGTCTCTCTGTTGGCTGTTTCTCTGCTGGCTGTCTCTCTGCTGGCTGTCTCTCTGCTGGCTGTCTCTCTGCTGGCTGTCTCTGCTGGCTGTCTCTCTGCTGGCTGCCTGCTGGGTGTCTCTCTGCTGGCTGTCTGCTGACTGTCTCTCTGCTGGCTGTCTGCTGGCTGTCTCTCTTCTGACTGTCTGCTGGCCGTCTCCATGCTGCTTGGCTGCTGTCTGTTGGGTGTCTGCTAGCTGTCTGCTGGCCGTCTCTCTGCTGGGTGTCTGCTGGCCGTCTCTCTGCTGGGTGTCTGCTGGGTGTCTGCTGGCTGTCTCTCAGCTGGGTGTCTGCTAGTTGTTCCTCAGCTGGTTGTCTGCTGGCCGTCTCTCTGCTGGGTGTCTGCTGGCCGTCTCTCTGCTGGGTGTCTGCTGGGTGTGTGCTGGCTGTCTGCTGGCTGTCTCTCAGCTGGGTGTCTGCTAGCTGTTCCTCAGCTGGTTGTCTGCTGGGTGTGTCTGCTGGCTGACCTCTGCCTGGGAGGTGAACCAGAGAGGCGCCAGTGTTCTGTTGCATCAGCCGTATTGTGACTCTCTGATAAAGACCCCAGCCAGGGGTTTTTTGGTGTGTGTGGTGTGGTACTCCCTGTGGTACCCCTGTGGTACCCCTGTGGTACCTCCACTACCCTGTGGTACCCCTGTGGTACCCCTGTGGTACCTCCACTACCCTGTGGTACCCCTGTGGTACCTCCACCACCCTGTGGTACCCCTGTGGTACCCCTTGGGACCCCTGTGGTACCCCTTGGGACCCCTGTGGTACCTCCACTACCCTGTGGTACCCCTGTGGCACCCCCGTGGTACCTCCACCACCCTGTGGTACCCCTGTGGTACCCCTTGGGAAACCCTGTGGTACCTCCACCACCCTGTGGTACCCCTGTAGCACCTCCACCACCCTGTGGTACCCCTGTGGCACCCCTGTGGTACCCCTGTGGACCCCTGTGGTACCCCTGTGGTACCTCCACTACCCTGTGGTACTCCTGTAGTACCTCCACCACCCTGTGGTACCCCTGTGGTACCTCCACCACCCTGTGGTACCCCTGTAGTACCTCCACCACCCTGTGGTACTCCCTGTGGTACCCCTGTGGTACCTCCACCACCCTGTGGTACCCCTGTAGTACCTCCACCACCCTGTGGTACTCCCTGTGGTACCCCTGTGGCACCTCCACCACCCTGTGGTATCCCTGTGGCACCTCCACCACCCTGTGGTACCCCTGTGGCACCTCCACCACCCTGTGGCACCTCCACCATCCTGTGGTACCCCTGTGGCACCTCCACCACCCTGTGGTACCCCTGTGGTACCCCTGTGGCACCTCCACCACCCTGTGGTACCCCTGTGGCACCTCCACCACCCTGTGGTACCCCTGTGGTACCTCCACCACCCTGTGGTACCTCTGTGACACCTCCACCACCCTGTGGTACCCCTGTGGCACCTCCACCACCCTGTGGTACCCCTGTGGTACCTCCACCACCCTGTGGTACCTCTACCACCCTGTGGCACCTCTGTGACACCTCCACCACCCTGTGGTACCCCTGTAGCACCTCCACCACCCTGTGGTACCCCTGTGGTACCCCTGTAGCACCTCCACCACCCTGTGGTACCCCTGTAGCACCTCCACCACCCTGTGGTACCCCTGTAGCACCTCCACCACCCTGTGGTACCCCTGTAGCACCTCCACCACCCTGTGGTACCCCTGTAGCACCTCCACCACCCTGTGGTACCCCTGTGGTACCTCCACTACCCTGTGGTACCCCTGTAGCACCTCCACCACCCTGTGGTACCCCCTGTGACACCTCCACTACCCTGTGGTACCCCTGTAGCACCTCCACCACCCTGTGGTACCCCTGTGACACCTCCACCACCCTGTGGTACCCCTGTAGCACCTCCACCACCCTGTGGTACCCCTGTAGCACCTCCACCACCCTGTGGTACCCCTGTAGCACCTCCACCACCCTGTGGTACCCCTGTAGCACCTCCACCACCCTGTGGTACCCCTGTAGCACCTCCACCACCCTGTGGTACCCCTGTAGCACCTCCACCACCCTGTGGTACCCCTGTAGCACCTCCACCACCCTGTGGTACCCCTGTAGCACCTCCACCACCCTGTGGTACCCCTGTAGCACCTCCACCACCCTGTGGTACCCCTGTAGCACCTCCACCACCCTGTGGTACCCCTGTAGCACCTCCACCACCCTGTGGTACCCCTGTAGCACCTCCACCACCCTGTGGTACCCCTGTAGCACCTCCACCACCCTGTGGTACCTCCACCACCCTGTGGTACCCCTGTAGCACCTCCACCACCCTGTGGTACCCCTGTAGCACCTCCACCACCCTATGGTACCCCTGTGGTACCTCCACCACCCTGAGGTACCCCTGTAGCACCTCCACCACCCTGTGGTACCCCTGTGGTACCTCCACCACTCCGTCTCACAACACCCAGGAGCAACGAAGCAGTCTTGAGGAAAATTGTGGTTGACCCCTTTTAAAACCCTCTTTAAACATGGACCACTCCTGAGACCGCTGGCCTAGAGCGACCACCGGCCTAGAGCGACCACCGGCCTAGAGCGACCACCAGTTACAGCGGACACCCCGCCTAACACGCGCCACCAAACTGCGACGTTGCTACAACGTCCTAATACGTCATAAAGACGTCGTGAGAACAAGATGTAACAACTTTATTGCAGGGAGCACCCTGCCTAGAACGACCCCCTGGGTACAACGAGCAGGCAACACTGGTTTGGCAGCCGGGCAACGCTGTGAAGCAGCAGGCAACGCTGTGAAGCAGCAGGCAACACTGTGAAGCAGCAGGCAACACTGTGAAGCAGCAGGCAACACTGTGAAGCAGCAGGCAACACTGTGAAGCAGCAGGCAACACCGTGAAGCAGCAGGCAACACTGTGAAGCAGCAGGCAACACCGTGAAGCAGCAGGCAACACCGTGAAGCAGCAGGCAACACCGTGAAGCAGCAGGCAACACCGTGAAGCAGCAGGCAACACCGTGAAGCAGCAGGCAACACTGTGAAGCAGCAGGCAACACTGTGAAGCACCAGGCAACACCGTGAAGCAGCAGGCAACACTGTGAAGCAGCTGGCAACACCGTGAAGCACCAGGCAACACCGTGAAGCAGCAGGCAACACCGTGAAGCAGCAGGCAACACCGTGAAGCAGCAGGCAACACCGTGAAGCAGCAGGCAACACTGTGAAGCAGCAGGCAACACTGTGAAGCAGCAGGCAACACCGTGAAGCAGCAGGCAACACCGTGAAGCAGCAGGCAACACTGTGAAGCAGCAGGCAACACCGTGAAGCAGCAGGCAACACTGTGAAGCAGCAGGCAACACCGTGAAGCAGCAGGCAACACTGTGAAGCAGCTGGCAACACTGTGAAGCAGCAGGCAACACCGTGAAGCAGCAGGCAACACTGTGAAGCAGCTGGCAACACTGTGAAGCAGCAGGCAACACCGTGAAGCAGCAGGCAACACTGTGAAGCAGCTGGCAACACTGTGAAGCAGCAGGCAACACTGTGAAGCAGCAGGCAACACTGTGAAGCAGCAGGCAACACCGTGAAGCAGCAGGCAACACTGTGAAGCAGCAGGCAACACTGTGAAGCAGCAGGCAACACTGTGAAGCAGCAGGCAACACTGTGAAGCAGCAGGCAACACCGTGAAGCAGCAGGCAACACCGTGAAACAGCAGGCAACACCGTGAAGCAGCAGGCAACACCGTGAAGCAGCAGGCAACACTGTGAAGCAGCAGGCAACACTGTGAAGCACCAGGCAACACTGTGAAGCAGCAGGCAACACCGTGAAGCAGCAGGCAACACCGTGAAGCAGCAGGCAACACCGTGAAGCAGCAGGCAACATTGTGAAGCAGCAGGCAACACTGTGAAGCAGCAGGCAACACCGTGAAGCAGCAGGCAACACCGTGAAGCAGCAGGCAACACTGTGAAGCAGCAGGCAACACTGTGAAGCAGGAGGCAACACTGTGAAGCAGCAGGCAACACTGTGAAGCAGCAGGCAACACCCGTTCAGCAGGTAATCTCCTGAGGAGGAAAATGAGAGAATTTTTGAGGTGGCGCCGTTGTTTGATGCCCGAGGAGCGGGGTGCTGAGGCAGGTCTGTGTGGGGTCACCCCCGTGCTCCCCCCCCCTCCTGTTGCTGCTCCTCCTCATTCTCCTCCTGTTTCTGCACCTGCTCCTCCTCCTGTTGCTGCTCCTCCTCCTGTTGTAGCTCCTCCTGTTGCTGCTTCTCCTGTTGCTGCTCCTCCTGTTGTAGGTCCTCCTGTTGCTGATCCTCCTCATGTTGCTGCTCCTCCTCCTGTTGCTGCTCCCCCTGTTGTAGGTTCTCTTGTTCCTCCTGTTGCTGCTCCTCCTCCTGTTGCTGTTCCCCCTGTTGTAGGTTCTCTTGTTCCTCCTCCTGTTGCTGCTCCTCCTGTTGCTGCTCTTCCTCCTGTTGCTGCTCCTCCTGTTGCTGCTGCTCCTCCTGTTGGTGCTCCTCCTCCTGTTGCTGCAACTCCTCCTGCTGTTGTTGCTATTGCTGCTCCTGTTGTTACTGTGAGTGCTCCTGTTGTTGCTGTGTGTGTTCCTGTTGTTCTTGCCGTGGGTGCTCCTTTTGTTGTTCCAAGTGCCTCACCCACGTACCGTTGTAACTGTTATACCCACGTACCGTTGATGAGGACAAGGTGTTCTGAGGGTGGAAAGTCAATAACAACGTCGGACCTTGCAAGAATAGTGCAACAGAGTCAATATTTCGTTAAGTATCTCACTTCACTAATGACAGAACGACTGGTGATTCACCTGGTTGATGAAACAAGAAACTCCTTAAAATACACTGCAGTTTTGATGTTATTGACAACTGCATAAACAAATTTGGTGCTTTAGTGAAATAAAAATAAATGCAATATTGACGTATGGTTGGACTAAGTAGGATTGGTTTGGGTAAGTTGTATGAGTTGTCTAACATATATACAGGGCTTGGAACAGAGCGTCAATGATAGAACTTCAGTTATTTCCGCTTCTTTTTATCTTGGACTGCAGCTGCAGCCCGTCCACTTGACTATTCCCAATGTCAAACTGATGTACTGCTTGACCCCTAACTTAACCCTGGACCCACAAAATAGGAAACATGACATCACATCAATTTTGCGAGCCGCCATGATTTTTAGTATATCAGTTTTTGGTTTGAAGGATCATATTGTCCCTGTGATCCTGTTTCTGACGAGGTCTCCTGGTAAGTTGATGTGGTTCGAAGGATCAATGTCCCTGTGGCCATTCTCTGACGAGGTCTCCTGTTAAGTTGATGTGGTTCGAAGGATCAATGTCCCTGTGGCCATTCTCTGACGAGGTCTCCTGTTAAGCTGATGTGGTTCGAAGGATCAATGTCCCTGTGGCCAGTTTCTGACGAGGTCTCCTAGTAAGTTGATGTGGTTCGAAGGACCAATGTCCCTGTGGCCAGTCTCTGGCCACAGGGGACATTGGGTTAACCCTGAGACATCAGATCTCAGGGTTTCCCTGATGTGGTTAAAAGGATCAATGTCATCACAGCTTGGTTTCTTACTATGCTCCTGGATAATGGTTTGGTCAAGCAAGCTGTTCCAAAAAACTCAAATGGAGAAACTTCTGCTTGTGGTACAAGCTTGGAAAACATCTTGACCTGATACAGACACTTGGAAGAATCATTAAGAATCTCTATGCTTACAAAAGACCAATACTGTAGTCTGCTAAACCATTATGAACCACCAACCAAGCAATATAGGTGATTCGAGTGGAAAGCTGACTAGTGACATGGAAGCAAAACTAGTGGCAAGGAAGTGAAGCACAAGTAAAGGAAGTGAGGAAGCAAGGAAGTGCGGATTGGGAAGGGGGCGGAAACCTTGGAAATTACGCTAGGGAGGAAGGGAGAGAGGAGAGCCAGATGGAGGCGGATAACGACCCTGTCTCCCTCCCTCCAGCTCCTCTCCCTTCCCCTCTCCCCCGTCCATCCATTCCTCTATCTCTCCCTCCACCCTGGACCCCCCACAATTACATCGTACAGTCAATAATCAACTTGTCTTCAGAACTAATCTCCACGCACGATGATCAATATATTGTGGTGTTTGCAGCGCCAGCGCTCACTGGAGCACATCCTCCACGTCCTGGTCGCGCTCGAGGAGGAGAACCTCCCCCTCTGTTGGAGGTCGTGGTGTGCAGCACAAGTAACAACAGCAGCAGCAGCACTACGAACTACCACGCCTCTTTAAACTACCACATTACAGTCGCCCAACAACCACAGTTTCCTGTTGGGGGACGGGAGATCAGCGGAGCTTGACGACGCCTGCAGGAGCACTCGGGTCTGGGAAAGGCCCCTGGATGTACCTGGATTGGACCTGGATGAGGTATTGAGAGTTCTTCTACTTCCCAAATCTGGCCCCCCGAGAGCCTGCTACAACAGCCTTGGAGCGGTCCGAAGGCCCACTATCCAACACAGCCTGGTTGATCCATGTGGGACGTACGAACCCAATCAACCCATCGAGGCCAAGGCATAGAAAACGTCAATATCGCGGTACTTTCATTTTTACAAATACGTCGCACTTTTTAACAGAGTCGTCGATTCCGTACTAAATGCGACGTATCAAGTGGGAGGACAGGGTCTAGACTGGAATATCCAGCTGCCCTCCACCACCAGTATAGCTAGCTGCCCTCCACTGCCACCAGTATAGCTGGCTGCCCTCCACCACCACCAGTATAGCTGGCTGCCCTCCACCGCCACCAGTATAGCTGGCTGCCCTCCACCACCACCAGTATAGCTGGCTGCCCTCCACCACCACCAGTATAGCTGGCTGCCCTCCACCGCCACCAGTATAGCTGGCTGCCCTCCACCGCCACCAGTATAGCTGGCTGCCCTCCACCGCCACCAGTATAGCTGGCTGCCCACCACCGCCACCAGTATAGCTGGCTGCCCTCCACCGCCACCAGTATAGCCGGCTGCCCTCCACCACCACCAGTATAGCCGGCTGCCCTCCACCGCCACCAGTATAGCCGGCTGCCCTCCACCGCCACTAGTATAGCTGGCTGCCCTCCACCACCAGTATAGCCGGCTGCCCTCCACCACCAGTATAGCTGGCTGCCCTCCACCACCAGTATAGCTGGCTGCCCTCCACCACCAGTATAGCCGGCTGCCCTCCACCACCACCAGTATAGCCGGCTGCCCTCCACCACCAGTATAGCTGGCTGCCCTCCACCGCCACCAGTATAGCCGGCTGCCCTCCACCAACACCAGTATAGCCGGCTGCCCTCCACCAACACCAGTATAGCCGGCTGCCCTCCACCGCCACTAGTATAGCTGGCTGCCCTCCACCACCACCAGTATAGCTGGCTGCCCTCCACCACCAGTATAGCTGGCTGCCCTCCACCACCAGTATAGCTGGCTGCCCTCCACCACCAGTATAGCTGGCTGCCCTCCACCACCAGTATAGCTGGCTGCCCTCCACCACCAGTATAGCCGGCTGCCCTCCACCACAGTATAGCTGGCTGCCCTCCACCACCAGTATAGCCGGCTGCCCTCCACCACCACCAGTATAGCCGGCTGCCCTCCACCACCACCAGTATAGCTGGCTGCCCTCCACCGCCACCAGTATAGCTGGCTGCCCTCCACCACCACCAGCATAGCCGGCTGCCCTCCACCGCCACCAGTATAGCCGGCTGCCCACCACCAACCGTATAGCCGGCTGCCCTCCACAGCCAGTATAGCCGGCTGCCCTCCACCACCACCAGTATAGCCGGCTGCCCTCCACCGCCAGTATAGCCGGCTGCCCTCCACCACCACCAGTATAGCCGGCTGACCACCACCACCACCAGTATAGCCGGCTGCCCACCACCACCAGTATAGCCAGCTGCCCTCCACCGCCAGTATAGCCAGCTGCCCTCCACCACCACCAGTATAGCTGGCTGCCCTCCACCTCCAGTATAGCCAGCTGCCCTCCACCACCACCAGTATAGCCGGCTGCCCTCCACCACCAGTATAGCCGGCTGCCCTCCACCACCAGTATAGCCGGCTGCCCTCCACCACCACCAGTATAGCCGGCTGCCCTCCACCACCACCAGTATAGCCGGCTGCCCTCCACCACCACCAGTATAGCCGGCTGCCCTCCACCACCAGTATAGCCGGCTGCCCACCACCACCACCAGTATAGCCGGCTGCCCTCCACCACCAGTATAGCTGGCTGCCCTCCACCGCCAGTATAGCCGACTGCCCTCCACCACCAGTATAGTTGGCTGCCCTCCACCACCAGTATAGCTGGCTGCCCTCCACCACCACCAGTATAGCCGGCTGCCCTCCACCGCCAGTATAGCCGGCTGCCCTCCACCACCACCAGTATAGCCGGCTGCCCTCCACCGCCAGTATAGCCGGCTGCCCTCCACCGCCAGTATAGCCGGCTGCCCTCCACCGCCAGTATAGCCAGCTGCCCTCCACCACCAGTATAGCCGGCTGCCCTCCACCGCCAGTATAGCCGGCTGCCCTCCACCACCAGTATAGCTGGCTGCCCACCACCACCAGTATAGCCAGCTGCCCTCCACCACCAGTATAGCCAGCTGCCCTCCACCGCCAGTATAGCCAGCTGCCCTCCACCGCCAGTATAGCCGGCTGCCCTCCACCACCAGTATAGCTGGCTGCCCTCCACCACCACCAGTATAGCCGGCTGCCCTCCACCACCACCAGTATAGCCAGCTGCCCTCCACCGCCAGTATAGCCAGCTGCCCTCCACCACCAGTATAGCCGGCTGCCCACCACCACCACCAGTATAGCCAGCTGCCCTCCACCACCAGTATAGCCGGCTGCCCTCCACCACCAGTATAGCTGGCTGCCCTCCACCACCAGTATAGCCGGCTGCCCTCCACCGCCAGTATAGCCAGCTGCCCTCCACCACCAGTATAGCCAGCTGCCCTCCACCACCAGTATAGCCGGCTGCCCTCCACCACCAGTATAGCCGGCTGCCCTCCACCACCAGTATAGCCGGCTGCCCTCCACCACCAGTATAGCCGGCTGCCCTCCACCGCCAGTATAGCCAGCTGCCATCCACCACCAGTATAGCCGGCTGCCCACCACCACCACCAGTATAGCCGGCTGCCCTCCACCACCAGTATAGCCAGCTGCCCTCCACCACCAGTATAGCCGGCTGCCCTCCACCACCAGTATAGCCAGCTGCCCTCCACCGCCAGTATAGCCAGCTGCCCTCCACCACCAGTATAGCCGGCTGCCCTCCACCACCAGTATAGCTGGCTGCCCTCCACCACCAGTATAGCCAGCTGCCTTCCACCACCAGTATAGCCAGCTGCCCTCCACCAGTATAGCCAGCTGCCCTCCACCACCAGTATAGCCAGCTGCCCTCCACCACCAGTATAGCCGGCTGCCCTCCACCAGTATAGCCGGCTGCCCTCCACCACCAGTATAGCTGGCTGCCCTCCACCACCAGTATAGCTGGCTGCCCTCCACCACCACCAGTATAGCCAGCTGCCCTCCACCACCAGTATAGCCGGCTGCCCTCCACCACCAGTATAGCCGGCTGCCCTCCACCACCAGTATAGCTGGCTGCCCTCCACTACCAGTATAGCCAGCTGCCCTCCACCACCACCAGTATAGCCGGCTGCCCTCCACCACCAGTATAGCTGGCTGCCCTCCACAACCAGTATAGCTGGCTGCCCTCCACCACCAGTATAGCCGGCTGCCCTCCACCACCAGTATAGCTGGCTGCCCTCCACCACCAGTATAGCTGGCTGCCCTCCACCACCAGTATAGCCGGCTGTCCTCAGTAGTGGGATTGAGGACTACGACCGGCTATTTTCATTTTTTCCACAGCCGGTCGTAGCTTCAGGGGTTTTTGAAAGCTACGACCGGCTTTTTTCATTTTTTCCAAAGCCGGTCGTAGCTTCAGGGGTTTTTCCTGTTTTTTTTCCCTATGTCGGTCGTAGCATCTGGGTTTTTTCCTGTTTTTTTCCAAAGCCGGTCGTAGCTTCATGGGTTTTTCTGAATTTTTTTGTTCCTATGCCGGTCGTAGCATCATAGTTTTTTGTTCCTAGGGATTAAAAAGCTGGTCCCTGGCATCCCCAAATTTCGTTGGCTTAGTGACCCTGCACAGACATTGCTAATGGTCAATGACGTCACCAGGTAGCCGCTCAGCATTCCTGCACCGGCATGTTCGAGGAGATTAAAAAGCCGGTCGTAGCATCATGGGTTTTGCGATACAACAGTATCCTTGAAACCTAATATAAAATACCATCATCCCTAGTCTATTTTTAATTTCATATTTACTTCCAACCATTGCCCATTACATTTATCAAAGGGAAACAAGTATGTGAGGGAAGAACATAACTTCAGCACTGCAAGAAGTTATGTGTGTATTTTCAAGTTCGTCCCCTGCTGCCTATATTTACCCAGGTCTTTTTCCTAAATATAAATATTTTTCGAGTTCTTCCCCTGTTACCTATATTCACCCAGGTCTTTGTCCTAAATATATAACTTATCCAATTCATTCCTGTTCTGTTTCATGTTGATACGTATAATGGGTCATTAATATTCCCCTTTACTATGACCATTCAGTCACACGTCTATCATGTCACCCCTATTTCTTCTTCATCATCGTCGTTCTAGAGAAGCACTGCAAGAAGTTA